AGTCTGTCTTAATCTGAATGTTCAGATTTAGAGGAGTATCTGACAGACAAGCAATTTGTGGAGCAGTGAAAGGTAAATCCCTTACTGTGGATTTAAGCGTTAGTTACAGTGTTGACCCCACCCTTAGCCCAGTGCCTTGACCCACTTACTTCCCAGCTCTACCCTCCACCAGGATAACCCTTCCCATCTGCCAAGTCCCTTCAGAAAATATCTTCCATTGTCCAACCCATGATCTGACAGCTTGTATCTTAAGCTTTCTTGGCTTCTGTGATTCCAGACACGTCGACTGCTGACATTTTTTCCTTTTGACCAGTGTCTCTTAAGTTTAGTTGTACTGTCTCCAAGGGAAGGTGATGTGTCCTGTAGAACGCCTGTGTAGAGCGGCCCTAGGGCCCGCCGGTTTTTCCAGGGTACCTTTGAAAGACGCCTCTTCGTTATTGTCTAAGGTGACTTCCCCTTGTGCGCCACTCCCAAGCTTCCGTTCTGCCCAGGAGCACGCCCTCGCTGTCCCCAAGGGCCTCTTCCCCCGGTTTTTCCAGGGTACCTTTGAAAGATGCCTCTTCCTTCGTTATTGTCTAAGGTGACTTCCCCTTGTGCGCCACTCCCAAGCTTCCCTTCTGCCCAGGAGCACGCAGGCATCTGCAATATGGAGGAGTGATAGTCCCTAAGGTCCCTCAAAGAGAAGAACATCCTCAACTAAATAGATTGCCACAGTGACTGCAACAATGACTTGAGCTTGGTGGACTTTGTGAGGATGGCAGCACAGGGCAAAGCGAAGTCTCTTGTTCATAGGGTCACTGTGAATCAAGTTGGCTCAATAACACCTAGCAACAATAGCATCTAAATATGCTGAGTTGGTTTTTTCAAACTCGTAGCATTCTAATTTTCTCATTGGAAAAAACAGACTTAATTTTTTATAATTTTGTACTCATTTCCTCAAGCATTTATTAATTATGCACTTATAACTGTGTTAAGGACTAGAACTAAGCAGATTAATGTATCCTTTCAACTTACATATATCTCCTAATATCTCCTTTCAACATGCTTCCTTGCTGTTTTGTACCTAGCTGTCCGTTCATGCAATACTCTTCTCCAGCACAACAACTGAAAGGCATCAATTCTCCTTCTAACATCTTAGTCCTTGTCCAGCTTTCTGATGCATAGCAAGTAATTGTGAAAACCATGTCCTGGATTAGGTACACCTTAGTCTCCAGACTGGCTTATTTGCTCTTCAGTACTCTGGAGAGGTCCCTGACAGCAGACTTGACTTTATCAGTGCAATTCGTCTTTTAATTTCCTAGCTTCAGGTGCCAAGAGTGTTGATTGCAGAACCAATAAAGCTGATGTTATTAGCAATCTCAATCTCAGTCTCTTCTCTATTGCTCATGAAGCTGCCAATTGGCCCAGTGGTGAGAATCTTTGTTTTCTTTATTTTTAAGAATGTTTTTATTGATTTTCATATAGTAATTCCTTTACATTATGTTTCATTCATACACATTGTTTTATAAAACCTTTCATTTACATTTTGTTTCATACGATGGTGAGCTTTAATCCGTATCGAAGACTATAGTCCTTGACCTTTAGTAGCAAATGCCTCCTGTCCTCCTCAGTTTCAGCAAGCAAGGTTGTGTCATCTTTGCAATGCATGTTGTTGATTAGTTTTCCTCCAATCCTGATGCCACATTCATCCTCAATAAGTCCTGCCTAATATATAGAAAAATTACAGGAAAAGAGACTATGAGGATAGGATAATTGATACTATAATCTTATGCAGTCATTGAGGAGGGAACCCCAATGTTAATTATTTTGTGTATAAAGTCATTTTGTATATAAAGTTCTGCTGATAGAGCAGAACTTGAAATATTTGACAAACATGTTCACAGTTTTGTGTCATGAGTTTCATGTCTACTTCCATTTTAATATTTATGCTATTATAAATTATTACATTTCCAAATTAATATAGAAAACCCTTGTTTTTATTGTTTTGTTTCTTCTTTGTTCTTTAAAGACAAAAATATTCTGGCAGTACTTGTTTATTAATTCCTCTTATAGTGAAAATCCCCCCCAAGTGGATAAAAATCTGTTTTTTCCTGTACCATGGTCTGGCTAATAGAAATCTGATTAGTCACTTGTCTAACTGTATAATTACCAACTTTGGCTAGTGAAATGAGACTAGAACATCCTTGTAGAAATATAGTTTTAATTACTTAAGGTCGATGATGTCAATTTGAAGATTAATATGTGTCTGATTAATGCCATAATCTTTCCAATCACTTGTTATGCATCTGAGAGCTGGATAATGAATAAGGATGATGAAGAAAAATTGATACCATTGAACTGATGCCATTGAGTTGTGGTGTTGGAGAAGAATACGGGACATCCATCCCATGGACTGCCAAAAGAACAAATAAGACTTGGAAAAGGCACAGCCGGAGTGTTTCTTGGAGGCAAAGATGATGAAAATTCTTTTTTCATACTTTGGATATATTTCTCAGAGGCTATTACTTGGAAAGGAATATCATGCTTAGAAATATGAATTGTCATCAAATGAAAAGAGGAAGATCCCCAACATGATAAATTGGCACAGTGACTACAGTAATGGACTGAGGTTTGACGATGGCTTAGGAAAGGAAAGTACTTCAAGTCTGTTGGTCATAAGATCACTATGAATCACACTCTATTCAAAAGCACACAAGGACACTTTAGTTGTTGTTATTGTTGTGCACCCTAGAATTGGAATCGACCAATAATGGACCCTCTGATGGGTTTTCAGAGGCAATTAATTGAACGGGAGTAGATTACGCATCCTTCCATGGAGCAGCTGGTGACCGCAAACCCCATGCCTTTGGGATTGCAGGGCAGCTAGCTTCTTGCCACTAGGCCACCAGAGCTCCCATTTTAATTTATCTCCCTAAAATATATTTTAAAATAAATTTTTTATTGCATTTAGGTTGAAAGATTAACTTACTGCTTTTTAATTAGTATGAATAGTTTCTGTTTCACATATTTTTAGTCACTAAGCAGGCATCAGAAACATTTTGATAGAACTTTTGTTTTCTTTGCAGTGGTGGTTCTGTGTATAATTTGTATATGGATGAGGATGAAGAAATTGAGCCTTCTCCTTCTGGACAACAGATAATCGAAAATTCAGTAACTATGAATAAGATGAAGCTCCTGAAGGCTAAGATGGAGAACATGAATCTCAGCAAAAAGGTGAATCTGTTGATTGTTCTGTAGCTTACTTTATTCCCGGAGGGCTCACAACAATTAGATCAGTTGGTAATTACAAAAAATCTAGTTTCACCTAATAATTTGGATGTTAACAGTGATAAATTTACCTAGGCAGGTAATACATGTAAGTTGATGAAATTTAATTTAGAAGACCAACAAAACTCACTGTAACAAAACTGGCTCATTGCTGTCAAGTTGGAACCTACTCATAGCTGAGCCTCCAGCAGTCTTCCAAGGCTACAGGAGGAGACTGCCCATCATTCTTCCAAAGATCCACAGATGGATTTGAACAATCAGGGAAACCTACCCTTTGAGCTAGCAGCCCAACTCCTTACAGACATTTAAAGTTTGATAGCACTCTAGATAAGACTTGGCTAAGAAATTTTTAAGAAGAAATAAAAGTAGGAAAGCCAGAATGCTCTATGGGATGTTCCTAGGATGGTAAGACTTTGGCTCATATGCCTTGGGCATGTATCAGGAGGAGGCAGTTTCTGGAGAAGGATGTCATGCTTGGGAATGTACATCAGGAAGAAAAGAGAAAGAACTTCAACAAGACAGATTGATGCATTGACTGTAGCAGTGTGCCCAAGCACAACAGCACTGTGAGGATCAGACAGGACTCGTATGGTTATTATGAGTTAGAGACAATTTGATAGCAGCTAACAACAATGACAATAATAAGTGGTAGCTTAACATTAATGATATAATAATCATCTTTTAAACTGCCTTGTTAACATGTATTTCTTCTTTTTATTTTTTTTTATTTATTATTTTTTGTGCATGTACCATCAAATCAGATCTGACTGGTACGGGAGGAAATTGTCCCTCCTTCTCTGGCAGAGCATCTGGTGGATTCGAACCGTGTACCTTTGGGATTGCAGTACAGCTTCTTGCCACTAGGCCACCAGAGCTCCCCAACATATGTTTCTTATAGTCATCTCCACTTCTGTATTCTCTTTTAGAGTGTTTTAAAATAAATTGATGCATATTGTTTTATACAATCATTAATATACATTATTTTTATATAATTTATTTGTATTGATCTATTCCTTTTATCACCTTGTCTCTTTAAATCCCCATTTCACTCTTCCTATTACTTTACAACCCCCATCTGCCCACTAACCTCCCCTATCCTAGTTATTTTTCCCACTTTCCCTTCTTCAATCCCCCTTCACCACCTTCCTGTATCCATTTGAACATTTATATATATATCTATATCTATATATATCTCACTCAGTTATCCTCCCATTATCACAATAATGGTATTATATATTATTTATCCATCCAGTATTTATCCTTGTGTGACTTATTTAACATAATGGTTTTTAGAGTTTCTCAAGTTGTGTTGTATTCTATGAATACTTTGCTGTTCCTAAGTGCTGTATAACATTCCATGTTTGACTATTCCACAGTTATTCTAACAGTTTGTACTTCGCTATTAAGGTAATTTATTAAATTATTAAGGTAACCTACCCAATGGCATCACAAAAGACTTGGCAATTTGCGCCTAGAAAGAGACCAGCCTAAAGTATCTGTTGAGTTTTTGGGATTTGCTGTGCATAGTATCGGCATATAGAAACAGTTTTACTACCACTTTGCCAGTTTGAATATCTTATTTCCTTCTCTTGTCTTATTAACCTAACTAAAACTTCCAATACAATATGGAATAGGAATAATTGTAGTGGGCATCCTTGCTAAATCCCGGTGTTCGAGGAGAATCCCTTCAGTTTTTTCCATTGAGAATAAAACTAGCTCTTGGTTTTGCATAAAAGCTTTTCACCTGTTGATAAAACCCCCTCTATTCCTATTTTGTTGAGTGTCTTTTTAAAATTAATTTTAATGAAAGTTTACAGAGACTTTGGATTTCCATTCATTCATTGTTGTACTTTTCTCCCTGCCCACTCCTCCCCACCAATTTGCTCTTCTCTAAAAGAAAAGTTCTTTCATGATTAGACAGTCCTTTCCCTCAAACCCACTCCACTATGCAGCCTTCATTCTGGACTCCTGTCTTGATCTAATCAAAACCTTATCCCTTTTAAACAGTTCTCTCCCTCATCTGTTTCAATGCAGTATACATTATTTATCCTCTCTTTCTCAGTCTACCCTTAAACCCAATTATCAGCCCCACTTTATAATAGTGTCACTATGAAGTATTTGTCCTTTTGTGATTGAAATATTTCACTCAGCATAATGTCCTCCAGGGTCAGCCATTTTGAATAATATTACATGAGTTCTTTGTTTTTCAATGAAGCATAATATTCCATTGTGTGAATATACCACAGCTTCTCTATCCATTCATTTGTTGATGGGCACTTGAGTTGTTTCCAAATCTTTGCTACTGTGAAAAAAGCAGAAATAAACATGGGTGTGCATATATCTGCTTGGGTGGTGGTTATGTTTTCTTTAGAATAAATTCCCAGTAGTGGAATTGTGGGGTCAAATGGTATTTCTTTTTTTTTTTTTCAGACAAATAAACAAGGAAAAGTTTATTCTATTCACCTTTATTAATACATGTGCTAAAATGGGAGGGAGATTTATTTGCCTTTCCGTGCCTTGATTTTCCTCAGGTAGAATTCCAGCTCCTTGCCCTCTAGCACATAACCATCTGCACGGCCACACTGGCCTGGCCGGGAAGCAATACATGCAAGA